CAACAACAATGCTGAAACCATACATGACAACAGCAAGATCAAAGGCCTATGACACAATGGGGTTTTCCATAAGTATGTGTTATAGTTTATTTATATACCCAGGTACTAAATGCCACTTAAAGAATATCGGACAGTACAGGTAGTTGTTAGATGCACAATGTTGATTCTTCCATCGAACTAAGTATCCAAGCTGCCCTTTCTTCTTAACATCCACTAGCTTTCTTTGAGCTGTGTCGTTGAACCTAACACCACATCCGGTTTGACCAAATCTGTAGTAGGTTTTATGTCAATAGCTTGCGACTCTTTGTATATGTGGCCGGAATAGCCATTATATTTTTACCCGAACGTCCAAGACAATCCGTTTGACATTCACTAGTTTAGGTTGACGATGTTTTGCTGCTCTCAACTGCGACTTAGGCCTGTTGTTCACATTCGGCCTATGTTGAAACTGAATTTATAGCGGATCCGCAAGATCTTTTTTACAGCTATCATCTCCTTAAAGCACTGGCACTTTAGAAAATCTCTGTTCTGCTTGCTAGTAGTTTTTGTATTTGAGCTATCTGAATTATGATGAAAACTGCACAACGTTAAAACAATGGAAGTGTTACTACGTTTATGACCTACCCTCTATAGGTTGGCCTTTGGGTTGATCTTCATTCCTTTCATTATTACTCGCTTGAAAGATGTTCCGAGATCTTTTCCCATAAAGCATTCCACCAATCTGTAGAAGTGGGAAGCATCGGCAATAAATATTCCCCTGGAATTACCCTTTAAACTGTTTAATACCGGATAACATCAAATATTATATACCGAGAACAAGACATCTGACAGGCAGAGTTATATGGCAGTATTCAAGATTCAAAATTTGTTAATGTCGTGTTATCGTCTAATTTCTAACTTCTATTCGTGTAATTTCTAAATTAAGACAATGTATAATCCAGTTTCTTTATTTGTTCAGTGTATATTTTAATTCCGTTTCATCTTCTTCATTGACGCTTTACATGTTTAGCATGACCATCGAACAAATTAGAATTTTGACATTTCTATCTAGCAATCATCATTATAAAAGTCGTTTGGTGTCGCCAATGCGTGCTCGACTTGGTGATAACTATTTTATCATGAAAATAAATACGTTTATTTGCAAGCTTGCATAATATAAGATTTAAAAAATAACTGCCATGAAGTTAAAGATGGGTTCCCAGAAAAGTATTTATCGAGTGGTTATTTCCAATAAAAGTATGGTAATTTTGGTATATATGGAAAGTAGAGATATCCAATCTTTCTAGAAAAATATTGGATTCCCCGAAAAACACCCATGGAGCGTATACAGGACAAAAATGTAAGGGTTCCCCTAATCGACAGCCCGACGATTAGGAATTTCTGCACGCTTGAAGAGTTAGACGTACAACACCTTCTGAGATAAAAATGACGGAAAAAGACGGGGGTAATGGATAATCCGAGAATTTAGTTACGATTCGATATTTGTAATAAATAGTAAGCGATTAAATACAACATCGTCTTATGTATGCAATGAATTCTCCTCTGACTTCCAAGAGAGGTAAGTCACGTGACGTAAACATGAACTGGTTTGATGGAATTTTTGTAGCAGGACATTCCTTCGCAATTACACTGTTTGAGAAGGATTTGAAGCAAAGTTATGACAAATTTTTAGTCCATATATATACCATTAAATAACCCAGTTTGTACGCGGGAACCCATCTTTAATTAAGTCAGGTAGTTATAATGAAGGCACCAGAAATAGTAACTTCATCGCGATCCACATGAACAGATTATCCCGGTCTCCTTTTCAGACCGTTGCATCCCCATATTTGGGGTTTCTAAACTTTATATCTTTGGACCATTTCAAGAAAATGTTAGAGCAGTAATAGAATATACACCAAAACGGTAAAAAATAAAACAAAATTCCCTAAATCCTACAGCTGTCTTCAAAAAAATGAACAAATATTGTATATCATAATTTACATAGTATTTTGAAAACTATATTATCTTATTATCATGATAAAATAGTTAAATACGATCTGATATATTACAAAGACAATCAAATGCCCAATCTGTGCCATAATATAGAAGCAATTTAGCAGCATTGTTGTCATCATTCACCAATCTGACTCAAATGCAAATTAAACTCGTCATATCAGAAAGCTCTTCTAAAACCTGTGGGAGCCACGGTGACTAAGTGGGTAAGATTTTGGCTCGCTAACCTGGAGGTCCCGTGTTCAATCCCTGCGTTGGCAGAGAAAGTTAATCGGGATTTTCCGACGTGGTTCCCTCTTGTCAGTGGTGCAAAACAGGGCCAGTCAAGGGACAACGAATAGGCGTTCAGAAGGTACAAAACACCGAGGTCCAGTGTACACATTGGCGTGCACGTAAAAGATTCTTTGGAATTCGATATAAGAGTACGCTATAGCGTCGCTGTCCGGAAAAAATTTCACTAATAGCACACTGTCCGTATGTCCGTCTTCATTAGCCCTGTAGGAGCAGAACAGTAGGACGTTAACCTTCATTTCTAGATCATGTGATCTAGACCTTATACCTACACATCTATTGAAGAAATACATCCGTCTATTTTTGCCCATTATATCTGAAATTATTAACCAATCTCTTTCATCTGGTCACTTTCCTCCCGAAATAGCAAAAGCCATTGTTAAATCAATACTAAAGACATCAGACATGGGTCTAGATATTTTGTCAAATCACCGTCCAGTTAGTAATCCATCTTACATTTCAAAACTACTAAAGAAGTGTGTTCTACATCAATTAAATGGCCATATTTATTCCAACAACCTTGAAAATCCTTTACAATCCGCTTACAATCAATACCACAGCACAAAAACTGTTTTACTCAAAATCACCAATAATATCTACCGGTCTATAGATAAATATAAATGTATTGCCATGGTATTCCTAGATCTCCCAGTCGCATTTGATACAAGGACCTGCTTGATTCGTTATGGTGTGAAATTTACTTGCGTGGTTCGGTGTTTAACTAGTTATGTCATCTAATCATCACACCTAAGCTGTCAGGATTAGAGATTTAGCATCCGACGATTAAACAAATCTTTGTGTGGTGCCGCAAGGTTCTGTACTCGGACCTGTACTTCTTATTATCTTCACAAAGCCTATCGCTAAGATTGCTGAATGCTATGGGCTAAATATTCATTTGTTTGCAAACTACATTCAACTTTCTATATATTTAATTTGACGCAGACCCTCATCATGCCACGATACAAAATATTGAACTTTGTCTCACAGACATGCATGCGTGGATGACAGAGCATTTCTTAAAATTAAATCCAAACGACACAGATCTGTTAGTAATTGGAACCAAGCAACAACTCCGGTAAAATTGATCAAACGATAGTTAATTTTGATAAAGAAATAATTTCATAAAAAAACATCTTCTAAAATCTCCAACTATTAACTTACAACTTGGAAAACGTGCCCTTTTCTACGCTGGACAATTTCTATGGAATAAACTACCAAAATATCAAAGTAAATGGAACAGTTAACGTCTATGGGTCATTTTAAATAGCAACTCTAAATATTCTAGTTTCAAAACCCTGATCTGTAAATAATAAGAGAATTTAACAACCAACAGCCCCTTAGAAACTGTTCTTCGGTATTAACGCACTTTATAAATGACGATATTATTATTATTATGTTCCCGGGCACGCAGTGCCGACTTCATGATGATGGCGCTAGGTAGAAGGGTTACACTTCTAAATATGTTCGATGTTCACGCTAAACATGTAAAGCGTCAATGAAGAAGACATTTTTCTTCTTAATAATATAAATATGATGAAATAGAATTAAAATTTACGCTGAACAAATAAAGAAATTGGATTATATACTGTCTTAATTTGAAAATTACATGAATAGCACGGCATTAACAAATTTAGAATTTTGAATCGAATATACCACCAAAGAGTTACTTCCAGGAAACGGGATAAAACCTAGAATACTGAATGAATGTACAACTTGGTATTAAAAGACGCTAGTATCTAAAGATTAAATTTACACAATTAACAAAAAGTAACAAACTTAATAAAAGACAATAATTACAAATAATGGAAATCATCAAGATTAAGCTTATCATACAATTAAAACTATAAATGATTCGACTGTCCACCTCTATTACCACGCATATATTCATACAAGATTAACGGCTTCAGGTATTATTGGTCTTAAAATAAATTCATTGAAATTTAAATAAGGTATTGAAACAACACTTCGGGCATTAAATAAATAAAGGAATTAATAAAGGGACGAATGAATAAATTCATGAATTATATGCCCATTACAATATCCCCACCAGAAGACGTATGAGTCTTCAATCATATTTGAATCTTCATACTCATTGATTCATAAAACAAGTACGATTATTTTATCGTTTATTGTATGACATGCTTTGTTTATTTAACGGTTTGTAATCATGTTATTGTGTTTTGCTAAAATGATGCCAAGATTTGGTTATTTAACGATTTTTATTCATGTAATTGTGTTTTGTTAAAATAATGCCAGATTTAAATAAAATGGGTGGTAAATGAGAATGAAGCTAACATAGAATCAATTAGAGTCATGTTATATTCTTCCATAATTAAACCTGACAATAATTCGATTTTAATGCTAGTAACAATTAGGCCATTATGAAAGAGGATATATGACCCCTCAATAGGAAAGACTCGTAGTTGTCCAGTCTACACAGGAGAGGCTTCATTTTTTGCTTTGCGAAAACAGAAATGCATTGATTCTACATTATTTACGTGGCCTGGTGACCAACAATTTGGTACTACACTACACATAACTGGGCATAGGAAGGTATCCATAATGGATTCATGAGTCACCATATATTATACTCTTCAAAAAAAGTAGGGGATATTGAAATGCAAATACCTATGCAGGTTGTGATATGATAAATAGTCATGGACATTATTGTATATTGGAGTGGGGTTTAATATAACACCAAGGTGGTTTCAAAACATGTCTTTATTCTAGGATTGAATAAATCGAACTGCCGGGCTAAAGTTACCTCAGTCCCGACTACAACTTGCCTTACCTTAATCTTAAAGGTACGGTAATGATCTGCAATCAATACATAACAATTATCTCTCTTTATGAAAGTTTGAAAATAGCGTTAATTACTAAGAAAAGTTTATTTATAACGATCTGGAACACGTCTTATACGTTCTGGATATCGACGTTCTGTAACGATTGGTTGATCTGGAGGATTCTGAACTTCAGACAAGATTGGTTTATTAATATCAGTATTGATATTAGTTTTATTAGTTTGACGAGTTGGTATGCCTCTTAACAGTCCGTCCGGGTTAGAATTAAACTGACGACCCAACGTATTTGACGTAAGTGTTGTATCTAATAATTCCGGTGATTTATCCTTTAATTCAAGAGAACGTTTGCGAAGTTGATCCTCGTGTCTTTTCCAAACCTGCTGGTAGACTTGAACATCGTACGAACGTTGCTTTACATCAATAATGATACCAGGTAACCAGCGCGGACCAGATCTCAAATTTAATACATAAACAGGGTCACCAACTTTAAACAATGGTGAGAAAACCGTATTACGATCATATACATCACACTCCTTTCTAAAACTCAAAGAAGGTCTAAGACTTGAAAACCTTGTACGAAGTTGTCGATGCATCAGCAAATAACACGGGCTTTCACCAGTCGCCGAATGTGGTGTTGTTCTGTAAGACAACAAAAACCCACAAATTTTTTCTTCTAGCGATCGTCGATCGTCCGCCATTTTCTTCATTTGTTTCTTAAAGTAACCTACATATCGTTCAGCCATACCGTTGGTCGCAGGGTGTGCTGGAGCTGTACGCGTATGTTTAATATCATTCGCGAATAGAAACTCGAAGAACTCACTACTAGTATATTGAGTACCATTATCTGTTACTATGTGTTCGGGAGTACCGAATGTCGAAAATAGCTTCCTAAGTTCTTTAACAGTTGATGTCGTGGTGATAGATTTCATTTGAATGACCTCTAACCATTTCGAATAAGAATCAACGACAATCAAAAAATAGTAACCTAAAAATGGACCGGCGAAATCTAGATGTAATCTCTTCCACGGGCTCGAGGGCCAATTCCACGATGCGACGTCCGGGGATGCAGGCATAGGCGCGTTTTCTTGGCACATTTTACAATGTTTAGTAATTTTTTCTATTTCCTCATTAATTTTCGGCCACCAGAAATACTGTCTGGCAACAGCTTTCATACGGACAGTTCCCAAATGTTCACTATGCAAATCTAACAAAAGAGTCGGTCGTAAATTAACAGGAACTATAACTCTACTTCCCCATAAAACACAGTCTTGTTCGATCGACAGTTCGGTCTTTCTGATAAAATAGGGTTTAAGCTCATCAACATTACAATAATTAGGCCAACCATCTCGGGACAGTTGTAAAACTTTTGATAGAGTTGTGTCATTTCGGGTTTCTGCGGCGATAACTTTTGAAGTTAAAGGAACCTCTTTCAACACAGAGTTTGTAACAAACAAAACTTCGTCGTTATGACAGTTAAAATTACTTCTATCATCTTGTAACGGCGTACGTGATAAGTAATCCGCGCACAGATTATCTTTTGAAGAAACATATTTCACTTCATAACGGTATGCCGATAAGATCAGAGCCCAACGTTTTATACGGGCCGCGGCCAGTTGAGGAATTCCGTTATTTTCTCCGAATAACTTAACCAATGGTTTGTGGTCAGTAAGTAACGTGAATTTTCTACCAAGCAAGTATTGCCTAAATTTTTGTACACCAAATACTATTGATAAGGCTTCCCTCTCAATCTGGGCGTAGTTCTTCTCTGCAGCGGAAAGACTTCGTGACGCGAACGATATGGGTTTCAGTTTACCATCTTCCTCTCGTTGCTGTAGAACAGTACCAATTCCAAACGGCGAGGCATCACAGGAGAGTACTAACTCAGCATCAGGATTATAATGTGCAAGAACTATTTCATCAGACATCATAGATTTTATTTTCTGAAAAATGAGTTCATGTTTATTATTCCAACTCCATTTCTTATCAACCTTTAATAGATCATAAAGTGGAGCCATATGATGTGAAAGGTGTGGTTGAAACCGTGAATAATAGTTCACCATACCAACGAATGATCGCAACTGTGATACGTTAGAAGGTGCCTTTGCTTCTTTAATAGCTTTCACTTTGGATTCAGTAGGATGAATACCATCAGCCGTCACTTTAAATCCTAAATATTCAACTTCAGTCAACAAAAACTTACATTTTTCTTTTCTAAGTTTCAAACCACACGATTTTAAACGCGATAAAACAGCACGGAGATTTTCTAAATGTTCCTCTTCATTACAACCGGTTACTATAATATCATCAAGATAAGCACTCTGTCCAACTAATCCCTTTAAAACAGTTTCAATAGCTCTCTGAAACAAACTCACAGCAGAGCTAACACCAAAAGGTAAGCGTAAGTACTCATAAAGACCACAGTGGGTATTTATTGTTGTTAATCCCCTCGATACGTCATCCAAAGCTATTTGGTGATATGCCTGTGACAAATCCAACTTTGTGAAATATTTTCCACCAGCCAAATTAGAAAAAATATCGTTTATTAAAGGGAGGGGGTAGCGATCAAGCTTAGCCACTTTATTTATTGTAAGTTTATAGTCACCACACAGTCGCAAGCTGCCATTTGGTTTGATCACTGGAACCACTGGTGCTGCCCAGTCCGAATATGTCACTTTCTGAATTAAACCATCACTTTCAAGCCGCTTTAGCTCCTCTTCTATTTTCTTTTTCATAGCAAATGGTACAGATCTAGCTTTACAAAATACTGGAGTAGCATTGTCTACAATGTCTAAATGAATTTTATAATCATTCAAAAGTCCTACTTTGTCCGAAAATAACTCATCAAATTCATCCAATAAACTTGTTAAACTAGCAGAAGACTGAATTGTTGACAGTGTCATGATTTCATCCCAGTTTAGTTTAAGCTCTTGTAACCACGATCTGCCTAACAAAGGTGGGCCATTTCCGTCAACTACAATCAGTGGTAGAAGAGTTTTCTGTCCATTAGTTTCAGCATTTACTATTTTCTCACCGAGAACGTTTATTTTATTTCCGGTATACGAACTAAGTTTAATGCACGACCGAGACAATCGGGAATTTCCATATAGTTCTTCATAATCATGTTTGTTCATAACCGTTACACCTGCACCGGTATCTAACTGAAATTTAACGGGTTTACCGTCAATAAAAACCTTAACGTTTAAAGGGGCACTACCAGTTAGAGAATTTAAAGTAAATAACACATCGGTGTCAGAGTCTGCACTGATCGCATTCGCTTTAAAATTTGGATGTTTTCCAGATTTACGCGACTGTCTGATACGTCTGGACAAGCAAACCTTCGCAATATGTCCTATCTTATGACAGAAATTACACTCAGCCTCTTTAAAATGGCATTTGTCAGACGTATGATTACTTCCACCACAACGAAAACAGGGTTTACGACGTACACTCATATTACTGCTGTCTTGATTGTGTGCTCTTTTGTCTTTAGAGAACGATTTTTGTCCACCAATCCTATGTACAGATGATACTGCGTCATTTGAGGAACTTGTACCTTGTAAAACACTAGCATCGCGTGTAGCATATTCTTGGGCTAAGGCAATGGTGTATGCAATTTCAAAAGTTAGCTCCGTTTCTAACAAAAGCCTCCTTTGTATCCGTTCATCCGCCACTCCACATACAAGTCTGTCTCTAAGCATATTGTTCAGATTGTTACCAAAGTTACAATTTTCAGCAAGTCGACGTAATTCTGAAACGTAGTCGGCTATTGATTCTCCCTGTCGTCTGTGGTACGTATGGAATTTAAAACGTTGCACAGTCTCAGAGGGAGTCGGAGAAAAATAACTTTTTAATATATCAATTATTTCATCAAATGTCTTACTTGCCGGTTTATTTGGTGATATTTGGTTACGAAGAACTGAGTAAGTAGATGGCCCAATAACACTTAACAGGATAGCACGCCTTTTCTGTGCACGTGCGTTGACTGCGGTTGCGTTCGTTTCATCCCTATTCAGTTCAATTTCATCAAGATTATTTGCCACCAAATACTGTTCAAGACGTTCTATATATTGGTCCCATTCATCTTTATTACCACTAAACTGTTCTATTTTACCAAAAGTTGCCATCTTTGATCCTCGTCGCCAATTATTGTATATTGGAGTGGGGTTTAATATAACACCAAGGTGGTTTCAAAACATGTCTTTATTCTAGGATTGGATAAATCGAACTGCCGGGCTAAAGTTACCTCAGTCCCGACTACAACTTGCCTTACCTTAATCTTAAAGGTACGGTAATGATCTGCAATCAATACATAACAGACATTTGACATGCTTTGAGAGTATGTTCACAGATGAATAACTTATCGCCTCAACAGAACCAATGAGCTGCACATGCAACACGCAATAGCGCCATATACGTGGGAGGGGTTCATTGTCAAATTTGACGCTTCAAGGAAGGGTTGATGAAAACTGCCTCGTGCTGGTTTATCTATCCATATTGCTTTCCTATCGGTTCTTGCATAAGACTTACTGTTTAGCGTATCTTTGCTTTAGTGTGTTACGTTTAATTTGATCGGGAGACGTGTTCGTCGACGTCAACGTCCACCGACAACACAGCAAGAATTGGCCGTGGCACTGCAAGAGGAGTGGGTCAGATTGCCCCAAATCGTGATTGCACGGTTGATTAGGAGCATGCCACGACGAATTGCTGAATGTCTGAGGATTGGTGGAGCAATTACTCATTATTATGACAAAAATCAAAAACGTCCATTTTCACTTTTGATAGTGTATCTTATTGCGAGTGAAATGGGGCCGCCAGATAAACCGCCCATATGAACTGTTTATGTTCATGTGTAGTCAATTGGCCTGTTATTAAAATACACTAGTGGTTACCTCTAATAAACACAGCAGTGCATTTCCGCAGTTTTGTATTGTTTCTATACAATAAAAACTTTATGCTCCTGTGACATTTTTCTGATAAATGTAGTGTACAATCAGAATGGGTAAAAAAACCTTTTTTTTTTTTGGTCCACCCTATATGTAGCAAAAATATTACTACAAAAAAACAACAATGTAATATATACCAGGGATGGCTGGAGTATACAATTTACTAAATTCATAACACTTAACTGTGCTTCTGCGAGCCTTAATGTGTCTGTAGCCCATGGCCCTACAAAATCTTAACACGGCTCTGAAAAGTAATTATTATATTATTGTCAAACGACAAAATCCTGCGTAAGACGTTAAAATCACAATTTCCGCAGACAATCCCATATGTCAACAACATACTAAGCCACCTTATGCCATCTTCAGATTTGTATTTCTCTGCGAGCTTGTAATGCCCCACATTTCTCGCTTCCTTAAAGTACCCAGTGAATAAAACTAGTTATGTCCATGTGGAAGATTCTAGTCAGATGATAGACGCATTTTCTTATAGTATACAGTGTATGGGCTGTACGAATCCAATTAATGTCCCTAATTACGTTCTTTTTGATCGGTCAAGTATTTTCTAATGTTGACTTTCCCCGTTGACGATGGGTACGTATAGTGTACGGATATGCTACAATTACCATTACAAATACTCTCTAGGCTGCTATTTTTTTACAAGTTAAAAGCAGGATCTGCTATAGAACAGTCACGAACTTTGAAGTTTTCCATCCACAATCATCTCATCTTTCATTTCGTACATTTAATAAATGGCTTCGCCATGAGCGATCAAATTATAGTTGAGTATAAATCATCATTAATGAAAGTAATTGGTCGGCTGCCTGAAACATAACATATATAGCTGCTTATTGCATTCACATCGTGTGCGTTTTTCCATAAGGACCAGCCATTGACCTGGTGATAACGTGAATTCTAAATAAATCATTTTTTTTTCCATGCCCCTGTCCTCCCCCAAAAGTAATATTCGATATATCCAAGTTTCAAATACTCCCTCTCCCTTGTTCATCAATGCGCTTCATTTCAAATCTGCTTCGAGAGCATTTCAAAACCGCTTCAAGAACATAGAGTATAAGCCGGTGGGTACTGGTTTTAAAATAGTTCACGATGTCTTAAATATTGGATACCAGGAGCCCATATGTTCACGGTAAGATAACATCGCTATTGTTTGGAATGGGCCAATAATTATTGTGTTTGTATTGTCGAAGACTGTGGATAATATTGAGTTAGGGCTTTACACCCTTTAATGAGTTAATGATACACTGTGACGCTTTAACGATGTGTATATATTGTTTTACAAAGTT